TCTCTCTCTCACGGACTCAGTCACCTGTCAGCCGCGACGACTTCAACCCTAAACCCTAAATCCTCAACCCTAAACCCGAAAAGCCCTTACCCCCTAGACCTGAACTACGAAGCCCCGAACAATAAACCCCATGCAGCAAGGGTGGCCCGGGTCGTTCTACTGTGAAGCGGAGCCTTCACAACGGGAGCCGACGGCGCTATCTGGACCCCACTTTCTATGGCAAGTACGGGAGCGATACTAGGTAGCTTTAGGGTTTTGGGTTTATAGGGCTTAAGGGCTTAGGGCTTGTAGGGTTTATAGGGTTAAGGATTTGGTGCTCATTGAGGGTCTGAAGTTATAGTGACCATAGCTGAAATGTGCTTCTAGACGGATCTCTAGGGGTTTTCGGTTTGTGTTTAAGCTTACCTACCTTACCGGAGATGTCTGCCAGATGATATGCTTTCTTCACCAAGAGCGGTTTCTTCACAAGAGCCCAGGATTACAAGGCCCAGACGCGCCGCAACCTACTCCGGCAGGAGGTGGGGGTTTCCGAAAATAGGGGACCCTAATGTAGTACCCTAAATTAGTAGGATCCGTATTATAAAGGACCCCAAAATAGTGCCCCTAATTTTCGGAAACTCCCAGGTGGTCGCCAGTCTCCTGGACATGGAAGAGACGACGGCAGAGTGGGAGTGGCAGGCGGAGGAAGAGGCGGAATGGGACGAGGATGACTGGCTCGAGGACCCCAGAGACTCCAATATCCCTTAATGAAGGAATATTCCTGAAATTATAGTAGGATCCCTATAATATGATTTAAAGGTATATTCCTTAATTCGAGGACCTTGATTCCTTTTCGGACATCAGCTTCAGCAGCTGCCGCACACCATCCACGACAGCTTCAAGTTGCGACCATCCTTGCAAGCCGGTGCATGGAGAGCATCCCAAGGCTTCGAAGCGCTGGGATGAAGCCATCGGGCGGGCCAACCTCATGGCCAAGCTGTACACAAAATCTACACGTTCTGGCACGAAGGCCGAGCCCAAATCTAAGGAAAAGAAGGTCCCGGACAAGCTTATGATGCTAGCGGGGAGTCTTCGAAACAAGCACAACGTGAAGCTGCTGGAGCAAAACCTGGTTGACGGCAGACAGGATTCTCTTAGCAGCTTCCAGCTGGAGTTTCTGGAGCAGTTCTCGCCAGCCATTTGCTCTGGATTGCGCGGCATCTTTCGGAACGAGATCATGTTGCGAGCCACCCCTACGAACAAGAGTGTTTACGATCGGTTCAAGTTGCAGATTCAGAAAAAGGGCAACCTCTGCCCTGTTTTCCATGGCACGGACGAGGCAAACCTTTCATCGATTTATGCAAAGGGACTGCTCGTTCCCGGGGGTGAGCAGGGCGTCCGTGTCGCTCATGGGGCATCCCATGGCAACGGCATTTACACTGCGAAGACGCAGAACCCAGGGTTGTCCTTCGGATTCTGCCGGGGCTCAATCCGGCCGATGCTGGTGTGTGGGGTGTTGGACGATGCAGTTCCGCTTGCCAGGAAATACCTCCTCGGAAACCACTATGTCACGGCGGAGTCGCAGAATGTCCGTCACGTGGGAGATGCCATCGTGGTCTTCGATGAAAGTCGGGTCATTCCACTCTTTGAGGCCTGGGACCCCGGGCTCCAGGGCACCGAGGCCCCAGTTGCGGCCCCTGCCCTGCCGGCGCCAGCGGTGCAGCCGCGGCTTCCGACATCGCTTCCTCTGGCGAAGGTGGGAGAAAGGGCCCCTTTTCTTATGCAACCCGCCTTCGTATAAGGACCCCTTAACCATGTACCCCTTGAAGGTCTACAAGGGTGGGCCAAAGACCCGGCTTCGGTCAAAGCCAGCGACGCGGGAGGAAAGAGTCAGGGCCTTTCTTCGCCGCCGTGCTTCACGCATCCGCTCAGGGTGATGCTTTTCCACCGGTCCAGGCTTTCATTGTGCCGAGGAGAACGCTTAGCTTCCGCTGCCTCAGGAGTTTTAGTTGTTTCCTTATTGGTCTGCTGCCAAGTTGCAGCAGGAAGTATGGGTGTACAGATAGCTTGCAGTGTCACAGTCGTGACTCGTGCTTTCGAGATTCGCATGTAGTTCTTCACTCCTTGCATGATTCCACCAACGATCATGTGACCAACATGTACAGTGTACAGGACTTGTGGCAAGGCAGAAAAAGGCAACCATCGCTTGTATGCAGTTGCTCTCTGACTCACTTGCTTACGTACGTTCTTACTGGGCTCCTTCCTTGCTTCTTTACTTCGTTACTGACCTGCTTAAGTGCTTGCTCACTAAGATGCATACTCGCTTCTAACTTTCGTCATGCTTGTGTACGTGTATATACATATGAAACAAATCAGTTTTGTGCTTTACATATGTGTTCGGCAGGCCACGGTTGACACAGACATGTGCCCCACCATGATTGCTGCTCGTAGCCGGGTGACCACCATCACCATTCGTCTTTTGAGCAGTGTCATGAAGAGGTCACGAGTGATATCCAATGCAAGAGTCCAGATCACGACCAGATGAGGGTAGCGAGCACGTAGTGGTTTACCATACTGCTCTGTTCCAAATATGAGCTGTCATGTGCTGCAGTGCTTCAATTGTGTTTTGTTGCCATACTGTGCCACTGCCTTGTCGATGCTTTTCGCAGTCTCACACTGGGGTGTCCCGATGCAACTACTTATCTACATGGTCGGTCCTGGCCACACAGCAGGAGGAGTGAGAGAATACTTGCAGTACAGGGCCTGAATGAATCGAATAGGGTTTTTTGGGGTGTTGCGAACCGAACGTCGGGGCGAGCAAAGACACGCAGAATGACGGGTTTTGGGGGGTATTACTGTAAACATCATGAGGAACCCGAAGGAATACTGTCCGTAATTATTCAGGCTTCTACTTGCTGCACGTCCTCTCTTCTCTTCTTTTGCAAACACTGCATGGGTAGTTCTCTAAATTCGGGTCCCTTCTAGGGTCCTTCTTATAAGGGTGCGTATTAGTTTTTGGAACCCAAAATCAGACCCGAAATTGGAGAACTACCCAGGCGCAACATCCCGATGCACAACTGCCAGTAGGAAAGCGACCCTAAACCCTAAACCCTAAGTGGGAGGGAAAAGACCCTAAACCACCCGTTCGCACTCCTGAAAACCGCCTCCCAAGTCGACAACAGTGTGGGCCTTGTGTGACCCTGAAGACGCCACACATCAGCCCGCAGTACCTACGACTTACCCCTCCTCTAATAATATAGGGTGTTCCTTATCTTAGCTTTACTATCATACACTTTCCCAACACCAAGTTAAAATTACTAAGGCTTCTATGTTCGAGACTAGACTCTAGCATGGCTAGACTCCGGATGAAGCTCTATGAAGTTGGGTAGTTGAAACCCTAAACAAAAAAACCCAAACCCTTAGCGGTTGGGCCTTGCTCAGCCGCTCCTTTAGACCTGTTCCCTCAACGCCCGCTGCTAGGCGTTTCAAGTCGATGACCTTCGACGTAGCTTCGAGGAGATACGGCACACCAAGTACGGCAAACAGTCGGCATCTTGACAGATGTTTAGGGTGTGGATTGATTGTTTTGGTCCACGGGTTTGTGTGCGCTTGTCTGTGTGTGTGTGTGTGTTTGCTTTCTTGCTTGCTTGCTTGCTTGTTTGTAGGAGTGACGGTATGCGTGTATGTGTGTGTGTGTCATCAAAAAGTGTACAGTGCAATGAGCTCGAGATTTCAGACGAGCAGTTACATTTACAGTTTACTGAAACCGCTCAAGGAGCCCTCAAGGAAGTCTCTATGGAATGTTCGTTGCGAACTTCGCTTTCGGAAGTGTCCGCAGCGCGCGAGCTTCGAAAAGAAAGAGCGGCAGGGAGAGCCGCAGAATTTTGTAAGCATCCACACGCAATCATGTGCTGGAGAAGTGAGTCTTCCGAACTGGTTCTTCTCTCACAGGGAGACGTGGCCTATTGCAAAGGCGGCAGAGTGAGGCACCAGGCAAACCTCAGCGCAACCGGGCTTCGTGGTGGTAGCCCGCGTGTTGTTTTCAGGTTGCGCCAGAGTCTTGTCGAGAAGGTGCCTGGGCGATGGGACTCGAGGAGTTTGATGGGCGAGCGTCT